CTTCTGCTACTCTGTTGTTTATGCTTAGAGCCTGAGGTCTGGTGTTGATATTTTACTTCGATGATTGAATTGTTGGCTAACTTATATACTGCTGAGAATGTGAATTTACACAAGTAAATTTGCGTTTATACTGCAGAGTGTTGTTTCGGATTATGACCTTGAGCTCTACTGCAGAGTAACGCTCTTGTGCTAAGTAAATACAATTGCATCTAAAATTAACATTACAAGTAAATTTAATAAGCACTAAAAGTTAGAATGTTCTAAAATTAATTTACGAGCATCACATGGAAAATTTCCGGAAAAAAATTATATTGTTTGCATGGCGGAACGTATTAAAGTGCAACTTCTTAGAAAATTTCACTATTTTAAAAAGCAGTCTGGGTGCCTACTGAGACGACTGCTTAAATCTAGGCGGTACATAGGCCGCCCATCTAAGTCTTGGGAATGCTTAGAAGAGAACAAGCTGATTACGCGGACTATATGGTGTTAGAAAAATGTATAACGCTCATTAAGCATAGTAATGGTTGAAGAGAGTTAACCAGATTAAAATGTACCAGATATCAAAACTCTGTGTCTAGGTCCTTTCAAGTAAAACAGTAGGGATATGATTGTAGATTCGAGGTGGAGAATTGTAGATTCGGCGAGTATGGATTTGACCGCTGAAAATGTCAGAGGAGTGCTTTTGGGCGTCTGGCGGTCGACCGGCAGTGGAGCTGCGGTCGACCGCAATGTGCACGAAGGATTGATTTTGGGCTCTGGATATTGGGCGGTCGACCGGACATGTAGCGGCGGTCGACCGGATTTGGTCCAGAGAGTTGGGTGAGCCTCTGGACTTTTCGCGGTCGACCGCACATGGAGCTGCGGTCGACCGCGATGCGGGTTTCGGTCTGGGTCTGTTTTCCAGACCCGTTTCGTTTGGCTTTGGTATAAATACCCAATGGGTGTTTTCTAGGGTTTCAAGGCAAGAGTTTTGAGCTGTTGAAAGGGGTTTTCTTTGGGCTTCTATTCTAGGAGCAATTGGAGAGATTGAGAGTTGATTGTTCATGGTTTATGAGAGATTTGTAACCCTAGTTTGTTCCTCTTGATTTCTAATAGTGAAAAACTCCCCCCTCCTTGCCCCGTGGACGTAGGCATCTTGCCGAACCACATAAAACTGGTGTTTGATTGTTTGTGCTATTGATTTGGTGTGTTGGTTTATCTTTTCTCGGCGATTGGTTTGGATTCTCGAGGCGCAACAAGTGGTATCAGAGCTCCGGACAACGCTTGGGCTTTTTGGAGGTATAGATCAGTTGGGAAGTTCATCTAGAGCTTCGATTGGTGATAAAGGTGGGATCTTTGTGGTAAAGTTTCTATCTTTTTCAAGTTGGATCTATTTTCTTGTTTGTTCCGTAATTGTTTGGGTGCTTTGAGATTATGGCCGGAAAGGATAAACATGGGGAGGGTTCTAGTGTGAAGGCCGTCCAAAGTTTGAATATACACTCTTTGAAAATTAATGTGGAAAAATTCAACGGCACAAATAATTTTGGACTTTGGAGATGTGAAGTCATGGATGCGCTAAATGCGTAAAATTTGGAAGATACGTTGGAGTTGGACGGGAAACCGGACAACATGGATGAAAAGATTTGGAATAAAATGAACAGAACGGCGTGTGGTGTGATTAGGTCTTGCCTTACCCAAGATCTAAAATATGATGTGATGAATGAAACTTCGGCAAAGAAGATCTCGTCGAAAATCGTTTGCATTTGAAGATGAGGCTTTATCGCTTCCAATTGAAGAAAGGGACATCCATTAGTGATCACATGAACCACTACACAAAGCTACTTGCAGAATTGGCGAACGTAGATGTCATTATTGAAGATGAGGATAAAGCATTGTTGTTATTGAGTTCATTGCCCGACGAGGAATATGAGACATTCGTCCTCACTCTTATTAATGGGAAGGCATCTCTTTCGTATAGTGAGGTCATCGCAGCCCTTGTGAATTATCAACTTCGAAAGAAGGACAATGAGACTTCCATCGAGCCGGTTGCGGGGGCATTGGTTGCAAGAGCTAAAAGTCCAAACCGTGGAAGAAGGTCGCAGTCTAGAGGGGGGCATCCTGCAGTTGGTAGAAATCAGTGTGCCTTTTGTAGAGAGGATGGACATTGGAAAGCCGAATGCCCAAAATTGCAAGCCGTGAAGAATAAAGGGAAAGCTATTCAAGCTTCAGAGGTGAATGTTTCCAAGGCTAGTGGCGATGTTTCAGATTCAGATTCTTCAGGTTATTCGTGCCCAGCTCTTCCGTCAGTTGACCGTCAGTTGATGTTGCCGACTCCACCGAGTGGATGTTGAATTCTGGTGCTACTTACCACATATGCCCTAGAAGGGATTGGTTCTCCAGCTTTCAGGAGTTGGAAAGAGGGGATGCTGTTCTCATGGGTAATGATCACAGATGCCCTACATCAGGGTCCATGATTATGATGAAGGGCGTTAGGAGGAGTAACTTGTATTAATTGCTCGGGAGCATGGTGATTGATAGAGCGCTGACGACTTCTTTGGCTAGACTGTGGTATTGTTTGGTGCTGGGATATATTGTTGGTTATACCGTGCACAGATTGTTGAGGAGTGCTATGACCTGCAGATTGAAGTCCTGTGATCACATTGGTATGAGCGAGAAGACCGAGGTGGAGTTCAGCACTTCTATCCATCGATCGAGGGGTTTTATTGGAGGTGTTCAGTCAGGCATTGGGGGGCTTTCCGAGGAGGCATCATCGGGAGGTAATCGTTATTTTGTTTCCTATGTTGGGGATTGTACTAGGCATATTTGGGTTGCAACCAAGTCCCGTTGGTATAAAGACCTAGTAGTCCGCAATAGTTGGAGGAGGTGTATGGGCAGAAAGGTTACCAGTCGTACTTATTCTAGTAGGAGTCCTTTCTTGCATTGGTGCCGAGCTCATGGCAGTTGGAGACACTTCAGAGGAGAGGAGACAGTGGGGCGACGTGATGAGATGACAGATTCAGTGAGCCGTTCTTTTCTGGAGGAGGATCGGTATTAGTTGTCGAGCAGTGGATCTGGTATTCAGGCTTCGACAGGTTTGGGTCATCTTATGAGGTTGCCGACTGCTGCGTATAGAGTTGTTAGATCTGGTGGAGCTGCTTCAAATTTTGGTTGGCATCGGATATTGGGCTACCCAGCACTTGGTCACATCGCTGATGTGAGATTGGATCCGATTGCGCATTTGGGATTCAGGAGTTCATTCGGCTATCAGTGGGGAGCTTCTGAGTTTGGTCTGAGCAGGTTTGTCACTTTGGACTCTCGGCAGGTGGAGAGTATTGATCAGGTCAGAGGGATATCGCAGCGGGTGGAGGTTGATGCTACTCCACATTGGGTGGAGCTTACTCCACATACTCCAGGTCATTCTACATTGGTTGGGATTCCAGCTGAGGTGACACAGCGTGGGAGTTATTTATTTATGGGGGCAGATGATGAGGTGGTTGACTTGGATGCAGCTGATGGATATTTTTTGGATACGGCCATTGTTTCACCTCAGGTGGAGGTGTTCGGATCGCTTCAGTTTGGGGTCGTTGATGATGCTATCAGCCGCAAGATGGATTGAGGGCCTTTGGAGGCCAAAGGTGAACTACGTGAAGGCTTGATTCCTTGGGCAAAGGATACGTAGGCAGTCTTTATGATACAGCCGATTTGGTGAGCGACATCGACATTTGGGGAGAGTGTTCGCACTCCCATTTGGGTCTCAGCAAGTGAGGCATTTGGTGTAGTCGGTGTAGGCTCAGTTGTTTGGTGAGTAGACACAGTTGGTTTGGGGTTGAGTGTTCGCACTCCGGGAAAAGTGTAATTTGTTGAAGAGTGCTTTTGGGCGTCTGGCGGTCGACCGGAGGTGGAGCTGCGGTCGACCGCAATGTGCACGAAGGATTGATTTTGGGCTCTGGATATTGGGCGGTCGACCGGACATGTAGCGGCGGTCGACCGGATTTGGTCCAGAGAGTTGGGTGAGCCTCTGGACTTTTCGCGGTCGACCGCACATGGAGCTGCGGTCGACCGCGATGCGGGTTTCGGTCTGGGTCTGTTTTCCAGACCCGTTTCGTTTGGCTTTGGTATAAATACCCAATGGGTGTTTTCTAGGGTTTCAAGGCAAGAGTTTTGAGCTGTTGAAAGGGGTTTTCTTTGGGCTTCTATTCTAGGAGCAATTGGAGAGATTGAGAGTTGATTGTTGAGGGTTTATGAGAGATTTGTAACCCTAGTTTGTTCCTCTTGATTTCTAATAGTGAAAAACTCCCCCCTCCTTGCCCCGTGGACGTAAGCATCTTGCCGAACCACGTAAAACTGGTGTTTGATTATTTGTGCTATTGATTTGGTGTGTTGGTTTATTTTTTCTCGGCGATTGGTTTGGATTCTCGAGGCGCAACAATGATATGATATGAATCTTTGAACATGATCTTTCCTCTCTCGATGTTAATAATGGGAAAAACAAATGAGGGTATATAAGTGCAAACAATGGGAAACTATAGAGTATTCAAGTGCTAATGACCCTTTATTAGGAGGAGATTTCTTGCGGTAACTTTACTGTGGGTGCCCAGACGTCTCTCTCCTTAAGTAATTTGCTCTGTACTCAAGTAGTTTCCTGCAACGCTGTGTTTTCCCTTTCAATTTCACTCAACTCTCATTCTCCTTAGCTTTCCCGCCCAAAGTCATCGTTCTCTTTCAACCTAACCGAGATTCCAATGTCCAGCCTTTGGCGAACTCCCGACAATCACCGGCGCCGTCTCGTTCCGGTCGGATCTCAAGTGGAGGTCCGATCCAACGATATCGGGCTCCGAGGCGCGTGGCTCGAGGCAACCATTGTCAAGAACATCGCCAACCAACGCTCTACCATCGTCTCTTATTCTACTCTCGTCGCCGAGGAGGCCTCTCTCAAGCCTATCGAGGAGAAGACCCTTCACACTATGATATGCCGGCGAATCCGGCCACTGATTTCGAGCTCCACCAGTGCATCGAGGCGTTCCACAGCGAGGTCTGGTGGAAGGGAGTGGTGATCAAATGAAGACTTACTGTATTCAGTTTGTTTTCCGACGAGCAGGGAGGAGTTTCAGTTCAAGCCATCGGAAATCAGGGGGCAAATGAAGTGGGCGAAGGGGGAGTGTATTAACGTTGAAGATGGTGATCAGGTGAGTGATTAATTATTTCAGTTCTTGAGTTTTATTTTCCTTCAATTTTTGGGTGGAAAAAAATGAATTTTGAAAAGTTATGGAGCAGGTAAGAAATCAGAAACGTCCATATTTGGAGTCATCAATTGTTTTTAGGATTTAACTTTTATCCCATTTATAGACATAAAATTCAAACCACGCATAAAGTTCAAAAAGTACGATGTTATCTCAGTAGAAGATCGACCGTTCATTCCTTCCAGAAACCTATGGTCAGATTTAGTCCCACTAAAAATCTCAGCTAACTTCATTCCTTTTAGGGCTTTTAACCAACGGTAAGCTTACTGGGTTGCCTTCATTCAAATTCCCGTCAAATGTGAAGCCTCTATAAACCCTAAGCACTAAACCCTGATTCTCCTACAATGGTGATGAGAGCTAGTCGACTCTAGCAATCTCCCTCCTCCTGTGGGTGATAGAAGAATAATTTTTCACTTTAGCCCTATTTAAATTTTTTATTATTAAAATTGACCTTTTTTTCTTTTATTTACCAAAACAGACCCGATTTCTTGATTAGCGGCTTAATCACATTCCTAATTAGTCGGGGTTGCCAACCCCGACTATTTAGGATATTAATTTTTAGGGTTTAAGTCTTCTAATTAGGGTTTAAGACTCTCCTAAATAGTCGGGGTTGGCAACCCCGACTAATTAGGAATGTGATTAAGCCGCTAATCAAGAAATCGGGTCGGTTTTGATAAATAAAAGAAAAAAGGGTTGATTTTAATAATAAAAAAATTTAAAAGGGCTAAAGTGAAAAATTGTTCGGTGATAGAATGATGTAGGACGCATAACGATCAAATTCATGTAGAAGTGAGACCAAACTGACCGTAGGAAAATAATCAAATCTTCAAATTTGGACGACAAATTCTAACGTATTATATATGAGAATCGATTATCTCGACGGAACAGAGTCAATCAGCTTGGCAGAATCCCACAATCCCATCAATAATACTCGTTTTGATAGGATTTTAGAAATAATCAGACTTTAGTTTATTTTTAGTAATAAAATTAGAGTCAATTTAAATTAGGAAACTGTTGATATCCGAGATCACACAGTCGATGAGAGCTTTCCGCTGATGGATGCAGTTCAGATCTTCGTGCTGGCGACGAAGAGGGATAGGATGGGAGATAGGGCTGACTCCTCCTCCGACTTTATGCCCGATCCTTGGACTAAAATTCCTGATTCTTCTGCATAAACAAGAAATGATCTGCAAACGTAAGAATCGTGAGAGGGCGGGGCTTGTTTCTCCCGTGGTACCTCCAACGGTCAAGTCAGTTGGTGAACTTGAGTGGGGTGAAAGAAAAATGATGTATTCTTCCTCATGCAATATGCGCTTTAAATTTGGCAGATTATTAATCCAAAAGAGGATGCTTGCGGGTGACGAAGGATGATGAAGGGGATCTCTTCCTTTCCCGACTTTATGTCTGACCACTGAGTTAGAGTTTGCGATCTGCACAAAAGAAGTCGTGAGGGTGATGATTCCCCCATGGTACCTCCGACGATCAAGTCAGTTGATAACTTGAGCTTGAGTGGAGTAATAGAACTATATGTTCTTATGCTATGTGCATTAGAGACGATGATCTCTTAGATTTAGATCAGGAAAAAAGTTTAGATTGCGAACCTGTCAATTAACGAACCCCCTTTTTATGGCGAATAACATCTGTATTTATAGAGGATGCCAAGGACAGATTGGTCACTTTATGAGTGTACTGTAAGGTGGTGGTGAGGGGTGAGCTGGAGGTTGAGTCACCCTTTTTTCTATATGTAACGCTTTATGAGTGACGGGAGGTCACTTCAATGATATTGGAAGTCAGCAGCAGACGAGTCTTGTCAGTTTGTGAGTGACGGGAGGTCATTTTAGCGACATTGGGAGTCAGCAGCCAACGAGTCTTCAAACGGTTAAGGACGAAGCTATAATGATGATCATCAAAGGTTAAATAATATTAATAAGTAGTATTCCGGGTCGTCCTCGGGAGGAGTGCTGGCTAACGCTGAGTAGCGATCTTTTGATATGAAGAGGATTGACTGAGTCCGCCTCTCGAGTCACCTATGAGGAATGATGCCGACTCGACTGAGGGAGTGAAAGAGGATTGACTGAGTCCGCCTCTCGAGTCACCTATGAGGAATGATGCCGACTCGACTGAGGGAGTGACGGCTCGGCTGTCCTTCAGGTCGACTCCGAGGAGTATTGAATCTCTGGAATGTTGATTTTCGTACCGACTAACACTGCCTTCTGAGTCGGCAGATCGTGTGGGCTTGTCTGGTTGGTCGAGATGTCGACTCATCAGATCATATATTTGGAAATAGTTGTACCCAATAACAGTTGACCCCTTTTGCTTAGAGTCGGCTTTAGCCGAGTCCAAGTGAAATGAATAAAGCTCTAGACTAAAGTTAGGGATGTTAATTGCTTTGTAGCATTGCTCTGATTGAGCGAACCAAGTAGCAATTCTTGAGTTGGCTGTGTTGTGTCGACCCGAGTGTTACGAGTCGGCTTGATAACTAGCTCATATTCCGCCTACTATGGGCAAGATGCTGGGGCCTTGGTCGATGAAGATTGGCAAGTCGAAGTGCTTTGAGTCTTTTTGTCGAAGATGACCGTACAATTGATCTCCATGCCTTGAGTTTATTCATGATGATACCAAGGTCTTAATGGCAAGATGATAACTTTGAGGCTAGGCTTCATGCTGGACCTAAGTCTTCATAATCATCCTATGGCCGAGAGGCGACTGTGGGAGTTGGTCATAAAGTTCTGCCTTGGGCTTATCCTGAAAAAGAACTAAGGGTTTGAAATCCGACTGAGAAGTCGAACCACCTAAGCTCTTGAGAGTCGACTAGGTTTTTCTAATCCTCTAAGGTCGAAAGGTGAATGTGGGAGTCGACCAAAGAGTTGTGCCTTAGGCTTATCCTGAAAAGGTTTCAGGAGCCGAGGGCTTGGTTGCCGACTGAGAAGTCGTTATACCTTTGGTTTATCCTGATAAAGAGCCAAGGTCTTGGGTACCAACCAAGAAGTCATTTTGTCTTGGGCTAATCTTGATGAGAAGCCAGGGGCTTGGGTACCGACTGAGAAGTCGTTGTGCCTTGGGCTTATCCTGATGAGAAACCAATGTCTTGATATTCGACTGAGAAGTCATTTTACCTTGGGCTTATCCTGACAAGGTATCAATGGCTTAGTTATCGACTGAGAAGTTGTTGTGCCTTGGGCTTATCCTGATGAGGAGCCAAGATCTTGATTACCGATTAAGAAGTCATTGTGCCTTGGGCTTATCCTGATGAGGAGCCAATGGCTTAGAAACCGACTGAGAAGTCGTTGTGCCTTGGGCTTATCGTGATGAGGAGCCAAGGTCTTGATATTCGACTAAGAAGTCGTTGTGCCTTGGGCTTATCCTGACAAAGAGCCAAGGACTTAGTTACCGACTGAGAAGTCGTTGTGCCTTAGACTTATCCTGATGAGGAGCCAAGATCTTGATTACCGACTAAGAAGTCATTGTGCCTTGGGCTTATCCTGATGAGGAGCCAATGGCTTAGTTACCGACTGAGAAGTCGTTATGCCTTGGGCTTATCCTGATGAGGAGCCAATAACTTAGTTACCGACTAAGAAGTTGTTGTGCCTTGGGCTTATCCTGGTGAGGAGTCAAGGTCTTGATTACCGACTGAAAAGTCGTTGTGCCTTGGGTTTATCCTGATGAGGAGCCAAGGGCTTAGTTGCCGACTGAAAAGTTATTGTGCCTTCGGCTTATCCTGATGAGGAGGTAAGGTCTTGATTACCGACTGAAAAGTCATTGTGCCTTGGGCTTCTTGATGAGGAGTCAAGGCCTTGATATTCGACTGAGAAGTCGTTGTGTCTTGGGCTTATCCTGACAAGGAGCACGGGGCTTAGTTACTGACTGATAAGTCGTTGTGCCTTAGGCTTATTCTGATGAGGAGCTAAGGTCTTGATTACTGGTTGAGAAGTTGTTGTACCTTGGGCTTATCCTGATGAGGAGCCAATGGCTTAGTTACCGACTAAGAAGTCGTTGTGCCTTGGGCTTATCTTGGTGAGGAGTCAAGGTCTTGATTACCGACTGAGAAGTCGTTTTGCCTTGGGCTTATCCTAATGAGGAGTCAAGGTCTTGACCATGATGATCGATGAGAGACGAAGGAATCGACCACCAGTTACGCCTTGGGCTTACCCTGATGAGGTGCCAAGGTCTTTGTTACCGATTAAGGAGTTGTTATGTCTTGGGCTTATCCTGATAAGGAGCCAAGGTCTTGACAATGATGGTCGATGAGAGCCGGACGAATTGACCACCAGTTACACATTGGGCTTACCCTGATAAGGAGCCAAGGTCTTTGTTACCAACTGAGGAGTCGTTGAGTCTTCAGCTTATCCTGATGAGGAGCCAAGGCCTTGACCATAATGGTCGATGAGAGCCGGAGAAATCTACCACCAGTTGTGTCTTAGGCTTACCCTGATGAGGAGCCAATGTCTTTGTTACCAACTGAGGAGTCGTTGTGCCTTGGGTTTATTCTGATAAGGAGCCATGGTCTTGGGTACCGACTAAGAAGTCGTTGTGCCTTGGGCTTATCCTGATGTGGAGCCAGTGGCTTGGGTACTGACTGAGAAGTCGTTGTGCCTTGGGCTTATCATGATGAGGAGCCAAGGTCTTGATATTCGACTGAGAAGTCGTTGGGCTTTAGGATTATCCTGATAAGAAGCCAAGGGCTTAGTTACTGACTTAGAAGTCGTTGTGTCTTGGGTTTATCCTGATAAGGAGCTAAGAGCTTGGCCATGATGATCGGTGAGAGCCGAAGGAATTGACCACCAGTTGCGCCTTGGGCTTACCCTAATGAGGAGCCAAGGTCTTTGTTACCGACTGAGTATTCGTTGTGTCTTAGGCTTATCCTGATGAGGAGCTAAGGGCTTGGTTACTGACTGAGAAATCGTTGTGCCTTAGGCTTATCCTGATGAGGAGCCAAGGTCTTGATA